ATATATATATATTAAAAGGGATTGAAAAGATTTGAGTGCTCGTATACAGATAATGTGTCGGCACAAATCTTAAGGCAATGTAACAGCCTAAGAAGCAGCAAAGTGGGCCTACCGAAAGTTTTGTAATGAGCAAAGTTTTGAAAATAGAACCGGACATTAAACCGATAGTAAGAGAGATTCAAGGTTCAAAAGTTAAACCGGGGTTGAACCGAGGTTCAACCAAATGACCAAGTAAATTATAAATATATTTAAAAATGATAATAGATGGGTTTTACATAACACTCAATTCTTATGTATTTAAATATCTAACACCTAAAATTCAATTTTGACCTGTCATTTTATCTGTGCATGGATACAATAAGGTATAAATGTTAAAAAATAGAGTTTAGGTGTTAGATATGTAAATAAATAAAATTGGGTGGCATGTATGTAAATTGAATTTTTTTTTGTAATAGTTAAGGTTTGATGTTATATGAGTGATTTGGGTGGAATAAAAGTACAAAAATAGAGTTTAGGCGTCATATATGTAAATTACATAAAATTGATGGTTGCTTTTGGTTCTTTTTAAACACTGGGAGTCGTTCTATATACGTGTCGTTGTAGTATGATTCCCTTTTTCAAATAAATCATTCTCTCAGTTCATATGAATGATCCAAAAATGAGAGAAATCATAAAAGACGGGATATACGATGAAAAAAAATAAACAAATTTTAAAAAGAAATAAAAAGGGCTTATGTATACGTTCGAACATAATCGGTTCGAAATACGGTATCCACGAAGAAAACCCCCACATAAGGTACACAACCAGAAAACGAAAATAAACATACCTATTTTATTAATTACATGTTAGGGGATACCCAAAAATACTCTCGATAAAATGAGTATTGCTTTCACTATAATAATCGGTAAATAGATCGCCAAAATGATGGTTATCTCACAGGAACATCCCGATTCTTTCAAAGCTCCCGTTAAGCCAAATGACAGAGAGTGAATCACTCAAATCCCAAATTGATAGCGGCTCATACGAGGCCTACAAAATAACCTATGATTAGTCAGTCTCTAGCCAGTTGGTCTTCAATCAATTAAACTTTGATCGGTCGGTCTCAGGTCATTTGTGTGCGACCTTCCTCCTTCGAATGTCCATGTATTCTTTTCATGACGAGCCCTATATTCTCTTCTTTAAAATATCTCATGTTCACTTATCCATTGTCTCCTCAAATACATTCATCTCAATATTCATTTTAACAATACATAATATTTATATACCATTTAGACCACAAAATAATGTCTTAAATTTTCAACTTCATTTTTTAGAAATTAATTTAAATTTATTTTGGACATTTTTAAAATATTATTTAACTTGAAACTCAAAACCAAATTTTGAATTACTTAAGCCTTCGACTAAAATAAAACTTATATAAATTAAATTAAAAAATATTTAAATTTCTCAATTATATTTCTAATTAGCCAAATTATATTTTGGGCCCATATAAAAACTTATCTTTTCAAGAAAAAAAAAATACAAAATAGTGTTGTAAGAGTTCTAAAACTATGATTAATAGAATAAATAAATCATACATTTTAACTTATTCATCATGATATGAGGTTTTTTTCTTCTTATTTTGGTCATGCATAGTCATGACCAGAAGGATGACGAGCAGACGTACGAAGGACAGCGTGAATCTCATCATGCAACTGAACGTACGGTCAAATGTGATCCACGTCGTCGTTGGCACGTCGAGCAAACCCAACATATTATTTTCTCAAAGATAAAACATAGTTGATGAAATAATGATGACGTGGCAAGGTGATTTCCATGCGTGGAGACATTTTTGTAGGGGTTTTATTTATTATTTATTTATCTATTGAAAATTTTACAAACATATCCCACAACTTTCATGTATTCACATGTCCTAACACGTGAAATTTGATATTTACATTTATAACGCCTTCATGTCACAAATCTATATGAAAATGTGTATTTCACTTTTAAAAATATTGTCAAGACAACCCTTTTATGTGAATTTAAAAATTTTGGTATCCATATAAATGTACTTGTTTGTGTTAAACATGTAGATACATACAAATTTTATGGTATATTTGTAAATGCCTGATTTTTAATATTTTTTATGGTAAATCTGTAAATCCCCGACTTTTGTTTTATTATTATTTTTTTTTTAAACGTCTTTTTTAAAATCATTAGCAATTTCAGTTTGAAATGCAAAATTATTTTTTGCATAATTCATGTATATACATATTCATCAAGAGAATCATTATTTGGTCCGGTGGGCCCCAAATAACACTTCCCCCATTTCGATCGAGACTCAGGTGTGCTTTAATTGAGCTGAAAAGCCCGCGCCACAGGATTTGAACCCCCGACCCAAAAGACTTATGTCAGAGGTCACACCAATGAACCGGGACGTGAAACACTCATGCATATATATATATATATATAATAGAAGCTGCATTTGCATACATGCCAACCAATTCCGACGTATTCACCTCCACATCTAATGCTTGAATTTTATTTTTACATTTAAACACCAAATCTTTCATATGACATCAAAAACACCATTATTTTAATTTTAAAAAAAATTAAATGCACATTTTCGTGCATAAGGTGGTTTGTATGCAAAAAATTTATGTTTGGATGTTAGATATGTAAATACATAAAAATTGAGTGGTAAGCGTGTAAATCTTCCTCAATAGAATTGCTTATTGCAATTTTTTCAAGCAAGCATAGACATTAAAGTACAGTGGAGAGAGAGGATAAATATATACCATACATTTCTTATGATGATAAGCAGCAGCAGCAATAGGACTAAATAAATATGGGGATTTACATATATACCATACATTTCTTATGAATTTACATATCTAACATTCAAGCTTCAGTATTTACATGCATAACACTCAAATATTTAATATCACATAAAAAAAAATATAACTTCACTTAACTTCTAATGGAAGTTAAATACTTCTTTCCAAGCCAAAGTTTGTCACACCAAAGTGCTATAAATGTAAATATCAAAGCTCAGGTGTAGATATGCAAATACACTAGAATTGTTCGGTATGTACGCAAATTTCCTGAAATGTAAATGAGTTTCCGTTAGCTCATGGCCTATGCTGATGTCCAATAGACTCCTCTGTATGTGGACCTGCTAATATCAAAGCTATTTACATGCCTACCAACCCAATTCCTATGTATTTACACAACTAACATCAAAAACTTTACTTTTTTTACTTTTATACCACCCAAGTCTTTCATATCACAAAGAAAAATATCACTATTTTGACTTGTAAAATATAAAATGCACCTTTTAATACAGAGGTAAGGTGGCAAGGTGGCATATATGTAAAAGTTGAAGTTTAGGTGTTGGTATGTATGTAAAGTTTCCTTAATATTATTGTTATAGGGGAACCTGACATTAGAAATGAACTATTTAAGCAAATAATAGAAACCTCGGGTCTATCTGAGGCAGCTGCAACTTATTAAAAAATAGTTGTGAAACTGCTGAAAAGTAATTCTGATGTTCAAAAAGTTGCGATGGCTATTACTCTTTTCTTAAAAAAAATAAAAAAAAGTCAGACGCAGTTAGAAAGCTGTCGTCGTTACACCTAACCAATATAGGTGGGAAAACGCAGATTTCAGCTGCAACTTTTTCAAAAAAACTGTCAAAACACAATTTACCTATACAGACATAACTGTCGTGCAGTACCGCACCGCCACCGCATCACCTCCTCAAACAGACCCTTCAACTGACAATCTCAACTTGATTATATGTTTGGCGAGGATAGGTTGTGGAAAGTAAAATTTTCATTACCGCGAATTTTCGATAAAATATTCCAAAACTAGCTCATGAACCAAACATCTCAATCTAACAAGTCTCCGGGCTATTTCTAAAAATAACACTGAAGTGATAATCGACAGTTAAAAAGCTTATGCAATTGCATCAAATGCGTCATTTTCAAAAATTGATTAACAACAACTATGTATATAGGGTAACCCTAAGAGGAAAAACTACAAGCAAATGAGACCTGCATAAAGCATTCAATCTATAATCAACAGTGCAAAATTTTAATTCACAATTTAACCCCTTCAATTAAAATTTTAATTACAATGTATAAATATTCATGAAATAATCAAACCATCTAAAATATTACACCCTCAGACAATAAACATAACTATCATACCTATCAAAACAATAAAGTGGTACATCTGTAAAAATTGAAGTTTAAGTGTTAAATATGTGAAGTGTGGCAAAACCTCCTCACATTGCAACTTTACTCTTGAGAAAACTCAATTGCATAAGAGAAAGAGATAAAGAAACTGCTTGAGCATTTTAACCAGAGCAGAAAATCAGAGGTTAATGTGAGGTTAGATTAACCTTAGGTAGATTTGGAAGACTTGGACTTCTTTGCAGGTCTATTATTGTGGATGTATGATTCAGCATTGATATTGCCTTGATCTTCATGCTTTTTAAATTCCTTTGTTTTTTCCTGCATTTGACGCAAGTGAGACTAACTGTAAGAAACTTTGGGTTGAGCGGGCATGTTGAAAAAAAAAGGGGGGCATTTACATAAATAGCACCCAAGTCCTATGTATTTGCATATCTAGCACCTAAACTTTGATTCTTACATCTATACCACCAATATCTTCCACATCACATAAAAAATACCACCATTTTTAACTTTTTAAAAATGAAATACATCTTTTCATGCATAGGTAAGGCGGCATTTACGTAAAAATTGTGGTTTTGGTGTTAGATATGTAAATACACAAGAATTAAGCGGTATGTATGTAAATCTCCCATAAAACATACATAACACCTTCAAAAGGTTTGAAGTAGAACAGTAAGCAAACAAAAGCAGCTAAAATTTGTAAAAATGAAGCGTTCTAGAGCGGAATTATAATCCACTGACTTTCTCTTCTTAAAAATTAAATTTTTATAACTACTAATTATAGGTGGAGTTATAAAGCCCACTAAATATAGTTATAAAATTTACATACATAGCACACAATTCTTATGTATTTAAATATGTCACAGCTAAACTTTCATATTTACACTCCTAGCACTCAAAACTTCAACATTAGCACTATTACCACTTTTTAAAAGTGAAATCCACCCTTTTTCATGCATAAGCACCAACGTGCTATTTGTGCAAATATGAAAGTTTACGTGTGAGATATGTAAATACATAGAAATTATGTGCTACTAATGTAAATTTCCCTTTATATTTTACTTATCCTGCTTTGATTACTTAGATTGTTATTTCTGATGGTCTCTGGTAACTACTACGACTTGGAAAAAAAAGGGGCATTACATACATACCACCTAATTCTTATATACTTACATATCTAACACCTAAACTTTACTTTTTTACATTCTAGCTCCATGGCACCGAAAATGTCTCAGGGCTCAAGTGATTCACCGAAGCGATGAAACCTTGAAAGCTGTTTTTCAAGTGTCAATAGCGGGACGTTCTTTCAATCGGGGAAGGTTTTTGGTGACAGAGTTGAGGTCTCGGCTCCCCCGACAAATCTCTCGTATCACATAAAAAATAAGGTCATTTTAATTTTTAAAAAGTGAAATACACCTATGTAAAAATTGAAGTTTAGGTGTTAGATATGTAAATACATAGGAATTAAATGGTAAGAATGGTAGTAAATCTTCCAAAAAAGAAACGCTCAGAAACCTTTAAAGACTTGGCTATAACAGCCACATCATGCTTCTCATTAGCTTCCTTCTTATCATTAATGGTGAGTTCCTGCAACACAATAGAAAGCGGCTTGGAATTAATTTCTGGAAGAAGAATAAAATTGCAATTTTGATAATTTTAAAAACTTCTCATAAATGTCCAAACCTTAGGCGGGATAAATGCGGCCGCTCTCTTTCTCTTGTTTTCGGCAGTCATCTCCGCCTGCTTCACCTGTTTCTCTTGCCACTTCTTGGCAAATTTCTTTTTGTCGCTCAAGAAATACTCGCCACTCTCAAGTTGCAGGTCGATCTGTAACAAAATAGTTCAAGTAAAAACTCTAATCATATTTATAATGGCATTTTAGTCCGAGAGTCTATACAAGTGCTAGAGGATGATTGTCAACAAATTGCTGCACTCTTGAATAGCAAATTAATAATAATAAAAAAAAAGTTTAAATAGATTATGACGACTAAGTTTTAATAAAATTTCATAAATTATTTATTACAAATGAGCACAAAATTAGAAAAATGGATGCAAAAATAGCCTATTGGTTGGAAACTTGCAATCTCATATATTTCAGCTAAGAATTTAAAACTTACTCGGGAGAAAAAAAAACATGATTGAACACTCATTAGTTTCCCGAAAAGCTAAACAATAAGATGAGCGGTACCCAAGATTTGCAAATATTTGCATTTGATTAGACAAGTAGCAAAGATAATACTGCAAATCTCCTTAAAATGATTTTAACAATTAGAAAAGAAGATCAGCAAAGGCAAAGGAATCATATAAAGCTGAATGGCCCAGACTGGATTTATTGGCCAAAACCGAGAAATCGAATTGAACCGAACCGAACAAGTCAGGTTGATTTGGTTCAATTTCAAAAAAGTACATCGATGTTTGGTTGAAACATTAATGTTCGGTTGATATGCGAGTGTGTGTGTCTGGGGGGGTTGCTTAAATGTAAAAATTGAAATTTAGGAGTTCATATGCGAGTGTGTGTGTAAATTTCCTATATTTTAATTGCACGAAAAAAACCAAAGAATATTGTATATGCAATATTTGATTAAAAATAAAAGGATGATTCATGAAATTAAATTGTTATACATTTAAGATATATAATTTATAACATTTGTTCATAATAAAACTCTAACAAACAATTAAATTTCATCTTATTCATAACCAAATAGTTTAAACTGAATTAAACTTTGGTTCGGCGATTGGTTTTTATCAAACTTTTGAATGGTTCGGTTTTACAAATTTTGGATTTTGGTTGCGATCAGTTTGACCAATTTGCTAACAGATTCATCCAAACCGACAAAATACTCACTCCTACACAGTTGAGATAAGGTTGGCAACACTAATTAATTTTTTAATTGAATAAAATTATTTACAATGAGAGATACCAAAATGGTAATCGGCAATTTCAGAAGAAGAGTTGAAACTTTCAAGTAAATCCATTTTACTCCATCTAGCAGAAAAGAAAGAAGAAAAAACAAAGCATGGAAAGCAATCATTTAACCTTGCTTGGTTGTTGGGGAGGAGGGAAAGGAGTATAAGGTTTCTTCTCCTTGCTCTTCACATTTTTTTGCTTAACATTCTTCCTGCAAAAAAAAATTAAAAAAAAAGTTCGAAAAAATAAATTTGTTTGAAATAATTTTTTTTTTACATAAACGAGTAAATTGCCAAAATAGCCCCCCAATTATTTATATGGTGTCATTTTAGTCTGAGTCCATAAATATGTCAAATTCATCCACAGACTTCTTTAATTTGAGATAAAATAGTCATCTAGGGACTAAATTGACACTTGTATAGACTCTAGAACAAAAATGACCCCCTACCATGAATCAATGGACTATTTTGTCATTTCTTTCAAAAAAAGGAAATATTTACATACGTACCACTCAATTCTTATGTGTTTGCATATTTAACCCCTAAACTTCAATATTTACATATATGCCACCTCATCTATACATGAAAACGCAAATTTCACTTTTTGAAATTTAAAATAGTGGTACTTTGGATGTGATACGAAAGATTTGGTGGTAAAAATGTAAAATGTAAAACTTAGGTGTCATATATGAAAATATATAAGAATTGCGCCGTTAAGTGTTCAAAAAACAAGTTGAAGTGTTTCGAGTGCATAAAAGCCACTGAAGTCCATACTTCTTGAACTTCGGGAGAAACCGATCCCAATTCTCATTGGCAAGGGCAGGATTTTTGGCAAGTTCACGTTTCATTAAAAGAGTCTGTCTTCGGAAACAAAAAAAACATTCAACAATAGTGAAATTTCATACTGCAGCATTTCAGTAACAAAATAATCCAAAGTTTCACCTTAATGTGGTAGACAGGATGCAGAGCATTCTGAATACAGTCTTCTACAATCCTTCGAACCTGTTTGTAGAGGAAATAAAACCTATGTTTAACTCTAAATTTTATTCGTGCTGGTATAACAACACCGACATATATATATATATATATATATATATATTCGTAAAGAAGAATAGAAAAATTTACATATGTAGCACAGAATTCTTATGCATTTACATATCTCACAGAAACTTGGGTTTTTTAAATCTATGTATGAAAATGTGTATTTTCACTTTTAAAAAGTGGTAAGTATTATATTTTATGTTATATTAAACATATGATTGCTTTGTGTGTAAATATGAATATTTAGGAGTGAGCTATGCAAACATATATGAATTGTGTGCTATCTATGTAAATGCCCCAAAAGAATATGCTAAAGAAATACCTGGACTAGAACATAGCACCCAGTCAAAATCTCAATGGCCTGAAGCATATGCATTAGTAAAATGAGAAATACAAATAGAACATTTAAGCTAAACAAATTGCATGAACATAAATAAAATATAATATGTTACGAACTATGGCAGCATTGAAAGAAGTGGCACACCTTGAGTGTGGAAAGGTTAGGGCCTAAAAGGCGCTCCCGTCGTCTGACAAATCGTTCCTGCAAGAAAAAAGATTAAATGCATCTTTTTCTTTAATTACAAAACTACCTACCTTTTCAAGACCTAAAACACCCCATGCACCCTTCAGTAATATAATCAATCTATCCAAATATAATTAATAAAAATGTAATTAAATATGAAAACGTGTGCAAAACGAGCAACACAGTGCAAAAAAACATGCTGTGTAAAATAAATGTAACGTGGATGTAATTGTTTCGAAGAAAACACTATAAATGAATGAATTTGACATAAATAAATCATAAATTGCATAAATAATAATATAATAATAAATTACAATAATAACATAACTTGCCATAATCATATAAAGACAAAAAATGACATCAGATGAATATCACATTTTTTTCTGAAAATCGAATAAAAATGACATTTAATGAGTATTCTCAAAATCAAATAACAAATGATATTAAAGTTTGCCGATAAATATAAGCATCAATCAATAAAACCTAAATATTCTCTTTACAAAAGCCTAAACCTAAGCTGCAAATATCAGTCCACTGAACCAGATTGTCAGAAGTGAAAGAAAGGAGAGGACAAGCCGTAGTTGTTCTTCAGTTCAAGATGAGGCCACTCTTTACTTTAGAATGATTGTAAATCAAGAACTCTATTTATAATCATGTTGATGGCTTATTCTCAACAAAGAGATGAGATATCTCCATGTAAAATTAATTGAAGCTTTATAATTTTGAATTTTTTTATTGATTAAAGATTTTTCTTCAACAAAACATTATAATTTTAACATGGCGGAAAATTGAGAGATGTATAAGGCATTAGCCCCAATTTTACAAAAAATGGCTATCAAAATTTGAAGATTGATTTGTAATGCTATTGGATGTGAAAGAAAATAGAGTTTCTTCGATAAGGTTAATTTATTATTTTTAAATATAAAAAATAATTCATATATTTTATGCATTTTATTTTTTTATAAATTCAAACAAATAAGATAATTTTGTTCGATCAAAAGCACTTAAATAATGTTCATGAAGTATGAACAGGTTGTAAAAGAAAATTTAATTTGAAATATGTTAATAATACAATTAGTTTGGATTCTATTGATACAAATTTTAAGTAGAAAATAGGAGAAATAGAGGATGTTGGTGGGCAACTATTTGTCAATAAAGATCCCGCTTAGAGATAAATTGAGAAGGCGTAACAAAAAGTTGAGAGAAGTTGAGCTACAAAGCTTAATAATATAAAAAAAGGGGGGGTTCATCCACAATGAAAATTAGTTCAACTCTATCTGAATGCACATCAATTGATCAAGTACAAAAAAAATGAGAATGACTCGCAAAAAGAACAAAAAGAAGAAGATGATGATTTTGAAGAAGAAAAAGTTCTACTTCTAGGAGAGAGAGAATATGTGAATGAAAATATTGATGATGACAAATGAATTCGCATTAGTTTGCTTTATGAAACTTGATAATTTATTTAATTAAATTTAGCCTTTTTATGAATAAAATCGTTTTTATGCTATCTTCAATTTTTAATTTCTTATAGAAACCTATCATTGTAATTTTAAACTTTAATAATTTATTAATTCCTATAATAATAGAAATAGATAGAAGTTTCAACTGCTGGTTCACCTTTGAGGTTTGTCAATAAGTTAGAAAAATACATGACATTTTTTTTCTATTTTATATAAAGGTTTAAGTAATCTAATAAATACTCCATATTTTATACTTTTCAATATAAGTATCATTATATTAATAATTTTATAGAAGGTACGAGTGATTTAACTGATAAACGTATTGCTTCGCTTTACACATTCCGTATAGAAGAAAAAAAAGCTTTGTTTGCAATGCATTTTATTGATGTCATTTTATGACAAATGATGAATAAATATTCTTTGATATGGAAAAAAAAAATCTTTAGATTCAAATTGCAAAGCATGAATACCACAATGGATTATGCCTCAATTGGATCTTCCCCATTTCACATTATTTTGGTCTATCTTTTCATTTATTTTACAAATTCCTAGAAATGTAATATCTTTCTATTCAACTTATTTCTACATAAAGACGTTATCTTGATCCATAAAATACTGCCACACTGCTATCCAGCATTATAAAAACTTTCAATCCACTTGTACCTGCATATTGAGGTTGTCTGCCTCTCTAGATCATAGAAGTTCTAAGTAGTGTCCTCGCCTACTAACAACTTAAAATAGTACGCAACCTACACTGCCCTTCTAATCAAGCCCAACTTATTTGTAGAAATTGAATTCAAGAGCTTCAATTTGCTCCATTTATTTGAGGTTGGTATGATTTATTTATTCTCTAAATTTATTTTAATAAACAATGTCACCCTCAATCATTTGAGACCAATGTATTAGATCCATTAATCATAAAAATTATTATTAGAAGATTTTATACCATTGCAAGTTCCTCTCTTTGCCAAATCAACGTGCAACTTTATTAGCAATACAAGCATGAAGAAAAAAAGTAATACTGAGGACTTCAACGTAAAAATGTCATAAATTCCAGCAAACATCAAATTTTGATTAAAATTTAAATTTACAAAGCAGTTAAGTTCATTTCAATGACTCCTCGCCATCCATGAAATCTGAATATGCATGCTCATCAAGAGGCCTTTAATATCAAGACAATATAAACTCATCAAATTTGTTGATTATAAGATTTTAGTAGTATAGTGAAGTTTCTAACGGGCCTGTCAAAATAATTGTGATTTTTATGCATACAAAAATGAAATTGAAAATACCATTTAGAAACAAATCAAATTTTCACAATGGTTATATAAAAAAATATTTGCATTCTATAAGAAGACAAATAAAGTACCTTGTTCCTTACAAGGTTTCCAATCTTAATGACGTCACAGTTCATTTCATCGTTCAGTATTTTAATGGCCTGCAATAATAGAATTTTGGTTTTAACACCAATGAGCATAAATAAATTTTAAAAAGATTAGCATACAATACCAAAATAACCATAAAATCCCAAGCAAGAAAAATTTCGAGCAATGGACTAAGAAAATATATACAAACTTCAAAAAAAATACAAATTTAAAATACCTGGGGTGCAGGAACACTTCGTGATAAAAGCTTGAGAAGATCCCTAGCTTTGACAATAATGTATGGATCCCTGGTCTTCCGAGTTGTTGATACAGTCATCGAACCCTCAACCTGAAGAAAACAATTTCAAATTGGAACGTTAAATAACAAAAGTTGTATAACGTTAAGAAATTAGGATCCTAGTATTACATATGTTGTGCATAAGAAACATTACTTCAAATAAATTTTAAATAAATTAAATTGAAGGCAATAAAACTAGATTAAAACGTCAAAATGAACTGCAAAAATTGGAAACTCTATATAGAAGAAACAACAATAAACCTTCAATTAAAACTGAGCCAACTTACCAAATTGAGCTCACACGCAATGTCATACTCTTTCAAAGCACGTTTAACAATGGGCCATGCCTCTTGCAAGTATTTCTCTGAAAAAAGTAACTTAAATATAATCTTAGATATAAAATTGACAAAGCCAAAGTTGTTATAACGGTAGCAGAGTAGGCTGACATAATAAAGAATGTGATGTAAAACAGTAAATTAGATTCACGGAATTGAACTAAAGTTTTAATACAAGAAAGGTCTACCCTAGTGATTAGTAAGTGGAATAAATTAACAGCTAAAAATCCTTCAAAACACGAAACAAACCATGCAAAGTGCTGTGTAGATTAGCAGAGTTGCAAGCTAAGGATAGATCAGCAAAAGACACTTGAGACATGAAAGAAATTCTAAAATGTGGACTAAAGTCCACTATAGAACACTCCACTTAAACTTAAAAGAACAAGAAATTGAAAAAAACTATGTTGTGGTCAAACAATTTCTTTTCACAGAGCGAAAGATTATAGCATACAATACTCTACGGACTAATAAAGCCAAAATTTATTCAGTAAAATGTAGAGCTACTAATAAATCTTATTGACAACTCATTATGAGCAATATAAACAAGAGCAAGCCCCCATCAGTTTTACTCATTGCATCACATAGCTTAAAAGATGCAAGAAGAACTTGCAAAAAAATCAAAACACACTTTTACAGGTTAATGGAAAAGGGGCATTTACATACACACCACCCAATTCTGACGTATTTACAAATCAAACACCTAAACTTTACTTTTTACATTCATACCACCAAAATCCTTCATATCACATCAAAAATACCACTATTTTAACTTTAAAAAGTGAAATACAGCATTTCAAGCATAAACAAGGTAGCATAGATTTAAAAATTGAAGTTTAAGTACACACAAGTAAATATATAAGAATTGAATGGAGTGAATGTGAATCCCTCAGTGGAGAAATAATGGTGACCCTACTAATAGCATTCCATGCTGTAACATGAGATAGCTATAATCCTTTTAGATAACAAAAAAGCAAATCAACATGGTTAGGGAAAAGATGAAAATTAAAGATGAAGGGGCTGCAAGTTAAACCCAGATAAATTAAATCCAAGGGGAGTTAAATCAAGAAAACTATTTGGCCAATCTGAAAAAAAAAAAATCCTGAAAAGCTATCTGACATTCTTTTCAGGATACAGAATTTAAATGAGTATGAAATTTAACCAGGAACCTGCTTTATCATGGATCATTAATTTACTCTAATTAGTTCAACTAATCACTCTATCACTTGAGCATTGCAATTTGGTTTGATTATTCTCCTATCAATTATTAACAAATAATCAATCATTTATCTATAAAAATCTCAATTAGTTTATCGCTCATTGCATTGATTAATGCTATAATAATAATAATTAAATAAATAATTACCCTAATTGCATTAACCATTTCCTCGCTTCCTTCTTCAACTTCTGTCATTTCCATCGAGCCAATCACTTGTCATCTCGTCTCTTGCCCACTCACTCTCTGTCCCCTTCGAGAATCTTAAAATGCAACTAACACAATCATTTATCTAAAAAAATTCAATCATCTGTATATGAAAATCTATACAAATAATTAATCATTTATCTATCAATTATTAACAAATAATCAATCATTTATGTATAAAAATCTCAATCAATCTATCACTCAATGCATTGATTAATGATATAATGATAATAATGACCCTAATTGCATTAAACATTTCCTCACTTCCTTTTTCCACTTCTTTCATTTCCCTCTAATCAACTGCTCGTTATCTCATCTTACGCTCTCGCTCACGCTCTGTGTCCCTCTCGAGAAAATTAAGATGCAACTAACACTACCCATTCTTCATTTTAAGGCCTACTTGCTTTTTTATCATATTCAAAGTTTCTTTAATCCACATCATAAGAGAGACTTAGCATTCCCTTATTTTCCTTGAAAATCGATTTGTATCAAACATGCATGATATTTCTATTTTATTTTTATGATGTGTTATGTGATATTTTTTCATGATATTTGTAATTATATATGCAGTGTACATGTGATTAGCCAACTTGGGGAGCAAAATATAACCGACACTCAGGCATCAATTATGGGCAACCAGGCACTCGGAACCAGAGAACAAGATGCTTACGCGCTTGGAACTAGAGGATCGGGAGCCTAAGCACCCGGAACAAGAGAAGCATGCACTTTGGCACCAGTTCTGGGCATTCAGATCCAAAGGTTGGAGCGTCATTTCTGGGCACCCTATGCGCCAGTTCACACACTCTCATTCACGTCGTTTCGCATCAAAGGGGCTAAAAATTGTCTCATACGAACCACAGAAGAAGGAGGAGAGGATTGAAGACCAACTACAAAGAGGAGTACTCGAGAGCAGTAGGAGCATTTCAAATGAGGAACACGAAGAAGTGTTGTCGGTGTGAGCAAGTATTCTCCTAAGTGAGAACAAGTGTAAGTGTAAGTGTGTATCCATTTATGTACTCAAAATGGTGTAAAACTCAAGGATTCCATTGTAATTTCTTGTCAATCAGTGAAGAACAATAGTGAGATCATCTAACTTTTTAAAACTTTGATTTTGCAATGAAATTTAGGTTGTGTTCAACCAGGATGAGTATGACATAAACTTCTCCCTCCTTTGTCATACTCATCCTGGTTTCTGTTTGGACACCTCCATTCGCATTGTTTCGTGCAAAGGGGTTAAAAATTGCCTAATACGAACCACAGAGGAAGGAGAGGGCCGAAGAACAATGACAGGGAGAAAGAGAAAACTTGGGAACAATCGGAACATTTCAAAGAAGGAATCAAGAGAAGTGTTGTGAGTGTGGCGAGTGTAATCCTAAGTGAGAAAAAACTTGGGAACAGTCGGAACATTTCAAAGAAGGAATCCAGAGAAGTGTTGTGAGTGTGGCGAGTGTAATCCTAAGTGAGAAGTTTAAGTGTGTGTTTGTATTCAATTAAGTACTCAAAATAATGTAAAACTCAAGGATTTCATCGCAATTTCATGTGAATCAATGGAGAAGATTAGTGAGATCGTTCTAACTATGTTATAACTTTGATTTTGCAATGAAATTTATGTTGTGTTCAACCTTAATGAATATGATTTAAACTTCTCTATTCCTTTAAATGAATTATATGCAATTGGTGAAATCTTTGTTATGTGATTGTGTGTAATTTATTTATAAGTTAATAGTTTAACATTCTGCTTATAATTTACTATAAACTGACCACTTGGGTTGTTAAATTAGGTTGCGATCTAGTTACACGGGAGCTAGCTAGTGAAGCAATTAGGTTAACCTAAACTGCTCTATGAGAATAAAAAATATTGTTATTAGATGATGTAATTGTGTAGGAAAATTTATAAATACGAGGATTTTTGCATGTTGAGTAGAATAATTGTAATATGAAACACCCTCCATCATTCAATTTTTACATACATAACACCTTAACTTCAAGTTTTACATACATGTCACCTAACCTATCCATGAAATGGTGCATCTCAAAATTTTGAAAGTAAAAAGGGTGATTACTTTGATGTAGTAAGAAAGATTTCGGTGGTATAAATGTAAAAAAGTAAGGATTAGGTGTAAGATATGTAAATACATACAAAAGATTTAATGACTTTAAAAAAATTAATTGGCAAGATTAAAGTTAAAACTTGCCGGAAACTAGCTGCCAAACAGACCGAGAAAGAGAGTGTTAGCAACGAACTAAATGATATCGAAAATACCAACCCATTAACGACCACTGCAATTAAACGATAGACAGCAGAGAGCACAAAATCACACTAGGAAAAACAAAATACAAATTTTTTTCTCTCAATAACAAGAGATGAGTATAGCATTCTACCTCTGTACTGAGGGAAGAGCGTTGAGAAAGAACTAACTTCAAGCATCCCAGTCTCATTCCACGATGGATCAAACTTCTCAACCTTCCAGTGATCGATATTAGGGTCCTCATCCCACGGCTTCGGCTTGTCGTGCTTTCCCTTGTGTTTCTTCCCCTTCTTCTCTGCCTCAAGTCCATCGCCGCCGCCTTCCATCGCAGTACAAAAGTGGTGTTTGTGGAATCAAGGGCCTAAATGGCAACAGATTAGATTGAAGCTGTTTGGTAACCGGTTTTAAGCAGGATTTAAGCTAAATCCTGTCAAACAGTAACAAGCGCCTCCGTAAATCCCAAAAAACCGATTCGTGATAAATCCTGTGAATCGGTGGATTTAGTAAATCCGCGACAAGCGGAGGGGAAGCGTGGCGGGAACAGGCTTACCTTCGTCAATGCTTTCTGGTGGGAGCGGAGAGGAATGATGAGAAAGATGGGGGGTTTCGGTGGTCTCTGTAAGCCGCAATCTCGTCGTTGCCTTCACAGCTAGCTCTCGTGGCGACTGTATCACGAAGGCAATGGTGTCGAGCGAAGCCGGTTGAGGGGGAGGAGGGAGGCGAGGGTTTTGGGCAAGAGCGGAGGAGTGGGGATGGGCATGTGGTTTTAATTTAATTTAATTTAATTTAATTTAATTGACTAGTAATTAATAATTGATATTTAATGCATATTTTATGAAATTATTTGTAATTAGATAAATTTAAATGTTATTTTTTAGTTGTTAATTAACTAATATAAATATATTTAAAATAAAGTTTATTTAATAAAAAATTAAGTAATTCTTAAATTATATAAATAATAATTAATTAAAGTTAATTTATTGCTTAATAGGTAATTATTTTACAAAAAATATTAATTATTAATTGATTTAAATAATTATTACTTAATGTAAATATACCTTTTCGACTTTAAGGCTTTGGTGCTAGTTTATATTTTTTCTAATTTAATTTTTATATTTAGATATTTACTTGAATGAATTTTGTTAAATCTTTCTATACTATCAAACAATTTCTTAGGATTCACCAAAACTTATTTATGATAAAACCTACTTGCAACCAAACAACCACTTATGTTAGTAGGATTTAGTAAATCCTGTAAATCTCAAATTTAATAAATCCTGAAAGAGCTAAATCTTAAAAAAATATTTGACAGCGAATCTAATAAATTCAATTAAAACACGTGAAGCAGCTTGATAACTTATGTGAGAATTAAAATATTTTTTATGTTCGTTATAATAAAAAATTATTACTACAATTTGATTATTTTATTATTATGATAAAAATTAATTAATTAATTTAATTCAATTTAATATAAATTTTACCAATATTTATTGCACTGTTATTTATGCTCGTTGTACCAAGAATGGGTGGTTCCCTCTATGTAATCACGTTTAATCCCTATTCTTATTTATGAAGGGCCCTTAGTGTGTTGGGGGTGACTTCAATGTCATCACTAATGCCTCTAAAATGCTTGGGGGTGCCTCCTAATGTCAATGCCACGAAAGATTTTAATGAGACTACTTTGGATTGTAGGTTATCTGATATAGGTTTTATAGACCTTTTTTTCACTTGGTCGAATAAAGTGATATGCCAAGGATTATATCGCTTTCTGTTCAACACTGAATGATTTTCATTTTTGCCCTCGACATTGGTTTAAAATCTTAGTAGAACTCACTCTGACGATGTTCCCCTTCTTATGTATATAAAAAATAATCTAACTTCGGTCACTCCTTCAGGTTCCAAAACATGTGGATGAAACCCTCGTATTTTTTTATATTGTCACCATCAAGTGGAATGCTCCTCTTTTTCCTAATAATAATATCAAGGGGACGAATAAACTTGACTTAAAGGCTTAAAATGGCTCTTAAATAACAATATTTTAAAAATCTCTTCTTTAACATAAAAGAAGTTGAAGTAAAAGTAATTAATTTGGAAACTGAATGCCAAGCAAAAGAAAAGTTAATTCAAACCTAATTTAACTTAATGCTTTGATCCACTTGAGCTCTCTTCAAGATATGGAGGAAACATTCTAGAAACAAAAAGCTAATTGTAACTTTTTGAAAGCTGAACATAAAAATAACAAATATTTTCATTCTCTCATTAAAAAGAAAGAGCTTCCAATGTTATACTCAAAATTAAGAATTATGAAGATAATAGTTGATTGAAGAGGATAGTGAATTAGCTTCTCTTGTCATTGATTACTTCTCCTCTTTCCTTTGGAAGGAAGGTGTCCATGCCCCTATACTTGAATCTCATAGTAGCACTCCTATTATATCGACAAAAGATAATTTCTCCATCTGGAATCCATCTGAGGAAGATGAAATTAAGAACTATATTTTCTCTATGAATGCAAATTCTGTTGTTGGCCCTGATGGCTAAGCTGTTAAATTTTTACATAAATGTTGGACTATCATTAAGGCTGACTTGTTAGATGTTGTTTTGGAGGTTTTTTTAAACCTTTACCAAATTCTTTTTCTGTCACTTACTTTGTCCTAATCCCTAAAATCTCTGACCCAAAACAATAAAGCAATCTTCAAACCTATCAATATTTATTCGGTGTTTAATAAAATAATCTCTAAGCTTCTATCTTCCAAATTTGCCATCTTGCTCCTCTATATCATCTCTCCAAATCAAATTGGCTTTGTGAAAGATAGATATGTTATTGAAAATAATTTGTTGGTTAAGGAGCTCGTGAATGATCTTGACTAAAAATACAAATGGCACAATTTAATTCTTGAATTAGATATATCTAAAGCTTATAATAACCTAAATTGACGCTTTCTTCAACAAATTCTCAATCTCTTTGGATTTGAATAAGGTGGTTAACATTTTCTCTATTGCTTAAATGACAACAACTTCTTTATAATTATTAATGGTAAACCTAAGGGCTTATTTAAATCTCTTAATGACATTTGACAAGGAGAGCCATTGTCTTCAAGTATGTTTGTCATAGCCATGGAATTCCTATCTCGGGATCTCAATAAACTCTTAATTGAGAATTCTAATTTCTTTTTCGAACCTGGAGTGAAACACGAGGTCCCCATCCACTTGGGATTCTCTGATGATTTTATTATCTTTTGTGATAATCATCCAACTCTCTAACTCAAATACAAGACTTTCTTCAATATTTTCAAAATATAGTGGGCTTAACATTAATAAATTTAAAAGCAACTCCATTTGTGACAAATTCTTCCCTCTCTTCTCAATTATTTGCATAAAAAACATTTTCTCTTTCCTACCACAATCCCTCTCTTTTAAATATTTAGGGACCCCGATTTACAGAGGTAAGAAACAAATCTTCTTATTTGATGACATTATTGTTTATGTCAAGAGCTATATGCCAAGTTGGGAACAAACCTTTTTCTCTATGGGCGGGGGTCTTGCTTTAATTAAAAGTGTCATGTATTCGTGTCATGTCTAAATTAATTAATGATTTTAGCAAATTTAAGGCTTAAATCAAACTCATACCAATCAAAATTAAAATCTCAACTTAAATAAACTAATTCAAAATGAAACATAACTAAACTATAATCTAATTAAGTCACAAATTAAATCCTAAATAATCCATAATTCACCCAAATTTAAAATAAGCTCAATTTAATCAATATCTTAAATAATAAATCAATTTAGAATTTTAATTTAACTCACATCCAAAATTTTAATGTAAAAGCCTACACACACACAAACATTATATATATATATATATGGGGTGTGTGTGTGTGTGTGTGTGTGTGTGTGTGTGTGTGTGTGTGTGTGTGTGTGTGTGTGTGTGTGTGTGTGTGTGCGTTTGTCTGTCTGTATGTATATATGTATAATGGATCCAATGGTTGAGATTAAAAAGGATTTATTATATTCTTTCAATTTGATTTAATTGTATTTAATATTTTACTAAAAACTAGATTTTAAATAATTAAAAATCTTAATTGTTTAAAAAATATTTTTAACTAATGTTTCTCGTTTAGTAGTCACACGCGCGCGCCCGCCCCCCCG